TTCATCGCAACGCGTTGACCGACGTTGACCTAGGGTTGTGCGTTGACCGGCGTTAACCCTAGGGTTTCGTGTTAACCTGAGGAGGACCAGTTTATACTCGTGTACTCCTGGGAGTTTCGGGAATCAGTTTAACCTCATGTACCCGTCGGAGGTTGCCAGGTTATCCTTAAGAATTATTATCTGTAATATTCTCTAGGAACTTCCTGTCAAAATGGGAAACAGTTTAGACTCATGTACCCGTTGGAGTTTTGAAAGGTTATCCTTAAGAATTATTATACGTAATATTCTCTAGGAACTTCCTGTCAAAATGGGGAGCAGTTTAGACTCATGTACCCGTTGGAGTTTGGATATCGAGTATTCCGATAAAAGGCGAAAATATCGCGAAATCACCCAAAATATAAAATTGGGTCCCGAATATTCCGAAATAGGTGAAAAATCACGAAATCACCCAAAATATAAAATTGGGTCTCGAATGTTCTGAAAATAGACGAAAATATCTCGAAATTATTTGGGAAACAGAATTGAACTCCGAAAATTCCAAATCTGACTGAAAATGCCGCTCAATTATCCGGGAAAAGAAGTCGAACTCTGAACATTCCAAATAGGATCAAAAATGCCGTGAAATTGTCCGGGAGATGAGGTTAACCTTCGAAAATTTCGAAAACGGACGAAAACGGACGAAAATACAGCAAAAGAGGCACTAGACCCGGTCTGACCCGCGTTCACGCGGGTCAGATGAATCCGACCCGCGTTCACGCGGGTCAGATGGATCCGACCCGCGGAACGCGGGTCGGATTAATCCGACGCGCAGAACGCGGGTCGGAAGGGGGTTTAAAGGGGAATAAAAATCCCCAACTCCTTCTTCGGTTCCAGCTTTCTTCCCCCTCTTCATTTCGGTTCTCTTCTTGAGTTCTAACCCCTCAAGAGCTCCTCTTCCTCCAGAATTCCAACCGAATCAAAGCTCCTCCTCCTTTAAAACCATCAGCTCCTTCCTCTCTTCTTCCCATTTGGATTCGAGCAAAGGAGGAGATTCGGATCTAGGGTTTCGGCCATTTGAGTTCTTCTTCCCCCTTTCAAGCTTCAAGAACTTGGGTAAGTCTTTTCTAATGGCTTTGATTCCCTTACATTGACTCTAATTAGTTCTTCATGCTTTGATTCAATGTCTTGAAACCCTAGTTCTTGGATTTGGGCAAAAACCGAATTTTGAACTTGAGCTTTGAATGTGGCCGATTTTTTTTTTTTGAGTTTGATTCTTGAATTTGTGTAAAAAACTGAAGTTGTTGATTAGAACTCTTTGTTAGCCGAAATTTCCACTGTCCATGGCCAAAATTTACTGTTCATGGCCGAATTCTTGGACTGTTCATGGCCGAAATTTTCTGCTGATCGTGAATATGATTGACTTCGTAATTCTGGGTTGATGATGGCCGAGTGAGCCCCTTTGTCGCGCCTGTACATGATCGAGTTTGCATTTGGTTGTGGTTATGTGCATAACTTGATGATTAACATATTAATTTGATCCCTTGGCATCAATTGTGTATGAGGGCTAAACTCTTTTGCTTGATTCTGGCGCTCGTGTTTGTATTTGATTGAGAATGAGGTTGATGACTGAATGCGTGGTCGAACGGCTCCTCGAACCTATGTGTGGCTGAAAATTCTTGTAGAGGTCTTTGAGCTATTCATGGCTGAATTCATATATGTGCTTGAACTTTGTATATAATTCGAACTCATATATAATTGAACTCATGTATATGATCGACTTCAAACTTTGTATATAGCCAAGCTCTTGTATATGATTGAACTCTTATGTATGCCTTGGGTTCAAACATGTGTAAGGTCGAGAATTAACTTGAATTCAAACTTATATAAAGCCAAGTTCTCGTGTATGGTTGAACTCTTATATTCCTTGAATCCAAACTTGTATGTAGCTCGAGGATTTGAACCCGAACCTGTATATGGTTGAACTCGTGTGTGACCGAACACTTTGTTGAGCTCTTGGTCGATGACTTGCACTTGAATTTAATTATTGGCCGAGGATTTTTTGTAATCTTGTATATGCCTTGAATTCGAGTCAATCTTGTATATGGAGCTTGTGAATCTGCATGTTGACATGATCTAGGCCTTATATTTGACTTTGTGTCACTTAACTTGAACCGAGAATGTCGTTTAGGTTTAATTGGACCCTTAATTGGAAAATTCCATTTTGTAGAATTTCAATTAAAAATTCGCAATTTCCCTTTTTTAGGCTTTGATTCATGTATCTCGATTCTTGATCTGACTGAGCTGTTGATCTTTATTGCATATTAGCTATGTCGACGCTTTGGACCGGCTGGAGCGCGAATTCCGACGGTTACAAGAGTTGAAGACTGCTGGTAGCTCAACGTACACAGCCATTTGGATGGAATCTCGTCTACAAGCATGGCACGACACTCGGGCTTCGGCTGGACTTGAGATTCAAACGCAACAAAGTCGGGTGGATCAAATGGAGGCCTTGGCTATCTTGGGGATGGCGAAGGGTGACTTGGAGCGTTCACGAGTTGTGATATCCGGAAAATTGGAGCTCTCGAAACAGAAGTTAGCCAAGATCCAACAAGAGGCTGCGAAAACATTATCCCTCACCGAGGAATCCTTCAAGGTTGCATTGCAGTGTGAGCTTGAGCGAACTTATACAGAGGAATTGACTAAACTTGAACAGCAAGCCTGTAGTCACAAACTTCATGTAGATTGATTGTAACTCTTGTACCTGCAAACTCAATTTTATTAATAGAAAATATGTCTTTTTCATTCATTATGTCTCCTTTATTATGATGTCTTACTCCGTATGGAATAATCAACCACTACGTATGGAATAATCAACCATAATACTTGTGGGATTTTTGGCAAACCCCCAGCCTTCAACGGGTTTGATGAGCCTTTACCGACTACCGTTTGAGTCGGGCT